AGTGGCTGGCACCAGGCTGGGGATGGGCAGTCAGCCCATCAACATTAAAGCAATCCAAGATGACGTTCCTCTCGGGGAAGACGCCTAGCACCTGATGCTCAGACTCTGAGGCTAGGAGTCAAAGCTACAGGTGTGACATCTGGACAGTGGGCCAGATCATTAGATTCAACATGAGACCCCATGGTCAAGGGGGTTGACATCTCTTCGGGGCAAAGACCTGATTACCTGAGCGGCTGGCGAGTGGACAGAGTGTAGGGGAGCCAGAGCCCCGAAGAACACCATGGCGCACCTGTGAGTACCACGTCTCCAGGACAAGGGGGGAAGAAAACACCACTAAACCCCCTCCTTCTTTATAGATATATATCATCAAGTCGTGGCAGACGAGTTGGGAAACCCTGACTGTGGGGCGGAGCCATACTCACAGTGCCTACTCAGGGCATGACAGGTGCTAGCACAATAAACTGCAATTGAAGATCCACCATTCTTTTTTTTTAATCTGCTGACAGTTAGAAAAAAGTAAAAGTAGATATCTTTGAATATCTCTTCATATTATTAGGAACAACTATAATGATAAATTATTACATGCCGTGGCATATTTACAACACTTTTCATCCACAAGACTAAAACAGTTCATTAAAAATTATTTATTGTTTTATAGATAAGAAAATTCTCTAAGATGAGGCAGAGTTCAAGATTAATAAAGTTACACAAAATAGGCTTGTGACTTTTCTACTGGACTATCAACTTCTCCTTGGTCTTTCTTTTTTTTTTTCTTTTTGTGTCTTTTGACCATTAAATGATGTAGAGGGAAAAACTAGAGGTGGGATATTTACTATGATAATTGTTACAAAGTCAGTATATAATTGTTTGAGAGGCAAGAATTTTCAGGGTGAAATATAATTGTTTCTGTTTCTTAATTCAGATCATAGCTTTCATAGTAATTATCTTTGGACCCACAGTACCAAAGGCTTTGTCAATGCAAGAACATCATACTGATTAAATCAGTGAGAAATTGAGTTAAATTAAATCATTACAAAGCTCTTTTAAACCAAAACAAGAGTGCACCTCTTAGAATACACTGTACTGATTTAACTAGCTCAGTTTCTAAGCCAATTTACTTAAATCACTCCTCACAGGTAGATGATGTGGCATTAATGTAATTATCAAATCTACAGTAGCATGTAAGTACTGCATTACATACTTGGAATGCCTGGGGCTAGACTCTCCTTTCACCTATCTTGGCTGAAGTGAATGGAATTTCAAAAAAATGAACTGTCAGGCTTACGGCATTGACTGAGGTCTGATTCTGCAAGGAAGGTATAAATTCAGAGGGTCTCAAACATGCCGCCTGAGCACCAGGAGAACCAGACCAAAAAGAGGACAACTACACCTAGGAGAGGTGTGAAATGAACACCATGGCAGACAAGGTTATTTGGATAAATGTGACATCTTTTACTAGAACAACTGAGTAGTTGGGGAAAAAAATCCCAACTACTCAGTCTAATAAAAAATGTCACATTTACCCAAATAGCCTTGTCTGCCTTGTCCTTAGCCCAACACAGCTACAACCAACCCCACCAAAACAACTAATGAATACCCTGGCCTGGAAGCAGGCAGATACTCCAGAGAGGAAGCTAGGAAGAGGGAGTTGTTTTTTTGCATCAACAGAAATAGAATCCATTTTGGAATTACAGGGAAGTGTTAACTGAAGGAGGCATGTTGAGTTAACTTGCAGACAACTGGAAAACAGCTGAGCTGGTTTTGCCCAAATTTTCCACCCATAAAAATGTTCTTTTGGGATTAAATTAAAACAGTGACATTTTCAACCCCAGACTGCCACAATTTTTAGAAAGCTATGGGCATAGTATAAACAACATCCTGCTAAAAGTCTGCCTGTTAGCTTAGCTAAAAGCATCACCTGCCCACAGATGCTATATATAATATGTCATAAGAATGAGCCATAAGTATCTACTTGTCACTCTGACTTATCCTTTATTCTGGTTTGTTGCTTCTCAGCTCCCTGGTAGAGGTAAACTAAATTTTACCATATTAATACTGATTGTTTCAGCAACCCACTTCTGCCCAGTCCAGCTTGATTTCTTTTGGCATGTTCATTGTGTGCTGGTATTGTTTCATGTCAAGCACTCCATTATGATGTTGTAGATGTACCCTCACTAGGGCTAAGTCTTCACTGACAAAAAATGGTATATTTTTACCAGGTGTAACTAATAAGTGTTGTCTACCCTACTGTGTTTTTACAGTGAAGACAAGGTATATAAGTTTTACTTTGACGCAAATGAGGTGAGGTCAGTCGTGGGAAAGGGCATAATGCTGATTTCCCAGCTACTTAGCAATAAATACCATATTCTCAACTCATAGTTTCATAGTTTCATAGTTTCAGGGTCGGAAGGGACCTAATAGATCTTCTAGCCCGCCCCCCCGCCAGGGCGGGAGAACAACCCAAAAACACAAACAAAACCACTCACCCTAAAAACAAAAACGGGACTCAAATGAGTCCAGCCAGGTAAGTATCCAGCCTCTTCTTAAAGATCCCCAGGGTAGGGGCCAGCACCACCTCCCTTGGAAGTTGGTTCCAGCTCCTAGCCGCCCTAACTGTGAAGTAGTTTTTTCGGATGTCCAATCTGTACCTCCTCTCCATCAACTTGTGCCCATTACTCCTTGTTATGCCAGCGGGGGCTAGGGGAAACAGCGTCTCCCCCAAACCCTTCTGGTTCCCCCTAGTGAGTTTATAGACGGTCACCAGGTCCCCCCTCAGCCTTCTCTTGTGGAGGCTGAATAGGTTCAGGTCCCGCAGTCTCTCACTGTAGGGTCTGCCCTGTGGCCCGCGGATCATGCGGGTGGCCCTCCTCTGGACCCTCTCCATGTTGTCCACATCCCTCCTGAAATGGGGCGCACAGAACTGGACACAATACTCCAGCTGCGGCCTGACCAGCGTCGCATAGAGGGGGAGGATCACCTCCCTGGCTCTACTCGAGATGCACCTGTGGATGCACGACAAGGTCCGGTTAGCCCTGCCAACCATGACCTCGCATTGTCGGCCCATGTTCATCTTGGAGTCAATAATGACACCAAGATCCCTTTCCGCCTCCGTGCTCTCAAGTAGGGAGTTCCCCATCGTATAAGTGTGCTGCTGGTTCCTACTACCCAAGTGCAGCACCCTGCACTTGTCCGTATTGAAACGCATCCTGTTCCTGTCTGCCCACCCCTGTAACCTATCCAGATCCTTCTGCAATCTCTCTCTCCCTGCTAGCGTGCTCACCTCCCCCCAGATTTTGGTGTCATCAGCGAATTTAAACTCTACTCAGGATTTTCCACCAAGGTAACTATTAAACAAAAAAATCCACTTTAATGCTACTGAAGAAATCCACCTGAGGGGAAATAGCTGTGATAGCAAATATGTGCCAATTAACATGAACTACAATTCCAGTAGAAATTAGATGTTTTGTAGTTTACAGGCATGTTAATAAGCCAAAATAAAGAGTATGGGGGAGCCCAGGATTTATTCTAGTCTGCTAAATCATGTTACAGACAGAACTACCTTGTCCAAATTATGGTTTCACTATGTAGTACTTGCCACATGTTTACTAACGCAAGGTACAAATGCATCTTTTTTTCTCATGAAAACGGGGCATAATATGTATATTTATGGCATCTCAAATAAAACATCTCTTTCCACCCTTTGTGCAGCATTTGTAAAGAGTGAAGATTTTTTTTTTTTTTTTTTTGCTGAAGAATTTCACAGCACAAGAAAGTAAAAGAAAATATATCTCTCACTGTCTTCCATTCTTTGCTGTCTGGTACATATATCTAAGTCGTTCTTCATCGCTGCAATGTAAGATGTAGCCCTTGATCACTAAAATTCTTCTTTCTATTCCAGCATGACAGCACCATATTTCTTAAAATAACTCTGTTATTCAACAAATTCATATGGCATTACAGGCAACTGCTCAGCAGGACAGATGGAATTTTGAAACTCCAGGACTATGCAGTGTTATAATCTTTCAGTCTCCTGTAGAAAGGATTTTAAAGGGTTTATTTTTACAGTGCCACACATGTAACATTCTTCACTGCACTTGCTCTCATCAAAGGCTGTATGTAGTTCAGTAGTTGTGAGACAATGTTCTCACCTTTCAGAATGATCCAAAACATATTCTAATGCTTTTCTTATGGTCCAGATTTCAGAATGTCAAACATTGTTTTAGATAATTTAGGCAGGGATGATCTTGCCTAAATTTTTAAGGTCATTTTAGGATCTATCTTTCTTTGAAACTATCTCAATATCTATTAGATTAACATTAACACCTAGATGCTACAATTGTATTTTAAAGCAAAATCATTCTAATATACTAATTCTAACATCATAAAAGCCTTAGTCTGTCTGTCTGTCCATAACGCTTTATTTGCACTCTGATTGGTTGTCTCGGCAGCCTATCACAGTGCTAACTGAAACAACCAATCAGAGTTTTCCAAGAGCGTTCCAGACAGGAAGCAATGGCACAGCGGAGCGCTGCCATGATGGTGGGGTAGAGGGGACGGAGCGGGGAGGCAAGGCCACCCCCCCCCAGCCCTGCTCCTTGGAGGTGGTGGTGGCATGGGGTGCTGGCCAAGGGGGCAAGCTTCCCCCCCATACTCCTAGGAGGCAGCTGCCCTCCCCTTCCCCCTGCCCCCCGTCATTCCTGATGGGCAATTGGCTAGTGATTAACATAATTATTTCAGATACGGTTTTCTTCACAATCTCACGAGTTGATACTACCTCTGTTTCCTTTCCTTTTGGTTTCCTGTTCAGATAACAAGTTATGTTCAAGGATGTCTTGCAGAGAAGTTTCATAAATAGCCTTTAAAACTTAGGTTTATCTGGTTATCCCACATCATGAAATATTGGTAGTGTTCAATAGACTTTAATTACAAAGGAACAGGAAAAAATTAATTCATGCTTCAATGTAACAAATATTCATGCAACTTTGACTTTTCCTTTCCAGTACCTGCATGCAAATGGGATTGTTCATCGTGATCTGAAGCCAGAAAATCTACTCTATGCAACACCAGCACCAGATGCACCATTAAAAATAGGTGAGTGGCTCCCCATCTCTATGCTCTTGATCCTTCCCTCAAATTGATGTTATTGTGTGTTGTTTTCAGGTATCTTCTCTCTTCCCCCATCATTTGATTCTGTTTTAGCAGCAGTATCTCCATAGACAGACACATTATTTATATAGCAGCACAACTGTGCATGATATCTTAAAGCTAAAAAATTAGCTCCCTACCCTGAGGAATTTACAAATAGAAGGCAACAAAGGATGACAACATAGGAGCAGGCAATAAAATGGTAGGGTCACAACAATGAAATCTCATGGGATATGTATATTAGATGGTATATTAAAATTTGGGGAAAATTTAAAAAAAAAAGAGGGCAAAGGTGGAAGTAAGCAATGAAAAACAAAACAGGTGAGTTGGGAGGTGAAAGGCAGTTAAAGAAGGCAGAAGTTGTAGGATACAGACAGTAGGAAAGATATTCCTGGCATAGATAGTCACATGACAAAAGGTTGGGGATGGAAGTCAGACTAGCTACAACCTGCAAGCTCACCTGAACTGGGAGAGTTTATGCCAGAAGTCAGGGTGTGAAGAGTATTTTCTAAGGACTGGGTTTCCACCAGTACAGAGTCTGAGGTCAGTAGGAACTTTGGTGTCCAGCACTTCTGAAAAGCAGACCTTAAGGCTCTGGGATCTGAAAATTCACTACTGTCCTGCTGAATTTGGGAATTCAGCTCATGTGCCAATTTATAGCAGCACAAAACAATAGGACAATAAAGCAGAAAGTGGCAGAATCTTAACTGATGAACCATGTAGGCTGTAGCAGTTCTGATTTCTTAACTGAAAGAGATTTGACTTGTATATCTTATAAAGAGAAGATTCTCTGAGCCTCATGCTGTCTCTTTCAGAAAGGAAGAGATTTTCTTATTTTTACTCAGGGTTTGCAAAGGTAGTAGGAGGAGCTAGAAAGTGATAGATGAGACCAGTCTGGAAGTACTGCCTCAAGTTCCTTCTTTGTTACTATGCAGAGAGTCAAGGTATTGCTATGTTTGGTGTGCTGGGGCTGAAAAGTTGTTTATCATGGATTTCAGCAAAGCTTGAAACCAAATGTTAGTAGTTGCTTAGTAAAATAGATGCAAGAGTTTCTTATTAACCTAGGAAAGATAGTAATTCTATTTACGTTGTAAGCTGGTTCTCTTCCTTCCCCACAAAAGAAAGGAAAACTGTAATATTATGGTTTAACACATTACCCATTACTCAGTGGCAGCATGGTGTCAGAAGTGGCACCAGCCTTCTAAAGCATTCATCGTATTAGTAGGAAAACACACAGCATTATTCCTAAACTCTGTCTTTCCACACTGATGTATCAAGACAGGTAGTTTGTGCAGAAATTACAGTACTAGTAGGAGAAGAGGGAGGGACAAAATAAGCAACATATGTCTGAGAATCTACTCAGACTAAGATACTTGATCTGAACACTGAGCCAATTACTCAGCTGGAAAAAAATGGCCAGGCATCAAAGAAGTCAATATAGCTTTTCATACCAGCAGAGGAGACAGCTCAGTGATTTCTATGAACATGAGTTTCAACAATGCTTCCCTGCCTAAGGAACTATCCAATTAATGAAAGGGAATATAGCTATCCACTTCTCACTGAGGTGAGAGAGTGATACCAGATGGGGAAAAAGAACAACTGATAAAAATTTGTTTGGAAAAGACAGAATGATTATTTTCACATGCTGGATGTATCTACATGAGCTGTTTACTGTAGTAGGCTAATTAGCTCTGCAGTAAAGTCTCAGTGTCTACACATACAGTCCTATTAGGCTACAGCAAACAAATAAATGCCACTGTAGGTTAGTACTTGTCAGCACAAGTACTGTCCTCCGGCGGCATTATTTAGTGCACGGCAATGCACGTGTTGGGGCTAGCTGGGGCACAAGGATGCTTTAGTGCAGGGGCTGCTAGCTGGCTAGCCTTGCACTGTGGAACACCCTGGTGCCCCATCCAGCCCCTCTGTAGCATATTGAGCTGATCAGAGCAGCCCCAGGCTGGCAGGGTGACCCCCTGGGCTCCTTGCTAGCAGGGGCTGCTCCAACCTGGCTCAGCATGCTACAGTCCCAGGCACGCTGGTAAATGCTGTGCCTAGAAGCAATGAACTTCCTACATGTACATTAATTGCACATGTAAATATACCCACTGAATATCAGACCCTCAGGGTGCTAACCCATCAATATTAGTGCTTATGCCAGAGGGTGTGTATTGGACCTTTTCAATATCCGTGTTGCATTTTTTAGGATACCGAGGGGTTAAAAAGTTCACTCTGTTACTTTTTTCTAAACTGTAAATCTAGAAGTCCCACTTTTGGTGAAAATTAATGTCTAGAATGAAAGGAGCTTTGATTTGTAATGAATAAGTCTGTATTTCAGGCTTCTTCTGTTTATAAATATAAAAATAGGTATAACTGATAAACAGTTTTAGACAAGCAGGCCTTTTTATTTGCATTTACAGAGCACAACACAACATCAAGTGCTATATTGCCAGTCTCTGCACAGAATATACATACCCACATTCAAAACAAAATATACAGAAAAGTAGTGTATTTGGCAATTTTAAAGGCAGATTCTCATCATCCAACCAGGACTTTGAACAAGACACTGAGATTATTCAAGTCTTTGAATATTTGATTTTAATCTCTCTGTGGGAAGATGGAATATGCAAGGTACCACCTATACCACCATGCTGACTCTCATGGCTCAGTATTTTTGCAGAGAGGAGAGCACCACACACACACACAATCACCAACATCTTTGCTGGGAAAACCTGCAGTTTCTACAAAGTATGCCATCTAAATACTACTGAGAGGATTGATCTGTAAGATGATAAGCACCCTGGCCCAGGAAATCACTGAGGCATAACATGCAAGTAGTTCTGTTAACTTATTTTGAGCGCACGAGTAGCTCTGTTAAATCATTTAAGCTTATATGCTCTTCTAGATCGTGACCGAATCAAACACCTGGCTAGCCCCCATTTAGCTGATAGTATCTGATAAAATCACACTTGGAAATGGTCCATTGTATAAAATCTAAATTATCTACAGCTTGCATATGTTTCCCTCTTCCTCTGCTTTGTTCAGAAGTTAAGAGTACACTAATGACTCCTGATTACTAGCTACTGTATGTTCCTCTGTCTTTGAAGCAAATAGCACAAGTGAAAGTTTTAAAATATTTTGTAAATGAAAGAGCGAGACAGATTTATCCATTGACAAAAAGTGTTGTTTCTTTGTTATAAAATGATTTTCCAAACATTCTTAAAATGTCAGTTTTCTTAATTTAAAATAGGGCTCTCTAAAATAAAAGTGAAGTACTTTCCACCGTTGAATCTATGTTCATTTTAATTACCTCCAGTGTTACAAGGATAGAGGCAGTAAGAAATTTTATGTTTCTAAAAATCTTAACAGCTGATTTTGGGCTTTCCAAGATTGTGGAAGATCAAGTGACCATGAAGACAGTTTGTGGAACTCCAGGGTACTGTGGTATGTTCCTTTATTACTTACAATTTGCTGGACTTATATGTAGATTCAGGAACAACTTTATATTTGCTAGTTTATGTATAGTGAAACACAAGTTCATTAGTTTGCTAGATTCTTGAACAGCTGAAACCAAAAACTGGAATTCAGAAATTGGCATCTAGATTGCTTTTTTAAAAATGTACGTTTTCTGTTGCCCCCAACTACACCAACCACAATTCAACTGTGTTTGATAATGCAATTTTATAATTTGTATTAAAACACTGTACATATTTTCATCAAAATCCATATAAAATTATTGGCTTAATAGATTACCTTGATGTCAGTGGGAGTCTGGGGTATGCAAAGGGTAATGGGAAAAACCACCATTTGTAGGGCCTTAATAAGACATAGTATAGATAGTCAACACTTAAATAGAGTAGAAACTGCTTAAGGTGACCTTTTAAAAAAAATATCTATCCTACTTTTATTACTAAGGAAAGTGATATAAGCTAAGCCCCAAGAAGGCAGAACACTTTAGTGCACACATATGTACAGATGTTCATTTTCTACAGACAGAATTGCCATTCTCCTGGTAGAAACCAAAAGTGTACAAACATTCTCACTTTTCTCACAAACCAAAAATGGCAGTTCTGGGAGAAAAATAAGCTGGTAGAAGTTTCTTATAGGAGAATGAATGTTTGTACACTTTCTCCCAGTTTAACTCCTCCTGGAGACCAGGAAGAGTAGAGCCATGAGGAAAGGCTCCCTGCCTTCTTGAGACCAGAGTCACCCCATCTGGAGAAGGCATGGGGGGACAGCTCCTCTGGCCCCTCCCATAGACTGAGAGGGGAGGGGAGGAGCAGCCAACCAGCTGCTCCTTGCCAGCTTCTCACACACTGGGATCCATAGGCGGAGGGAGAAAAAAATTTTTTTGGGGGGGGGGGGGGGGGGAAGAGATAGGTAAGTCTGTGGGGGAAGGGTCAGGGAGAAGGGAAAGGGCTGTTGTGGGAGGGAGGAGTGGGGTTGGGGCAGACCCTGCACAGCTGGGGTGGGGCACGGGACACAGCCATAAGCAGCTTGTCCATGGGGCGCCTAGAGCAGGGAGGGGTAACAGCTCCCGCTGCTGCATGCATGCCAGGAGGCATGGAGGGTGTGTGCCTGGGATCTGTGCAGGGTGAGCGCAGACTACCACTGCAGGCTCTGACTGGGGCTGCACCAAGCTCTTCCTGGTGGGGCTTGGCTCAGGCTGCACTCAGGGCAGGGTGGGCGGTGGCACTGGGAGTGGGGGAGAGAGTGGGCTACAGTGAAGTTTGGGGTGGCTTCAGCGCCCTCCCCAGCCCCCTCCCAGCGACACCGCAACCTGCCTCAAGGGCAGCACAGCCAGCCCGGCACCACCGTAGCCCCATCCTGCAGTTGTAGCTCACCCCACCCCATGCAGATTTGGGATCACACACCCCCCACGCCCTCCAGGGGTGAATGTAGTAGCAGGAGCCATGCCCCCCACAGATGAGCTGCTTGCGGCTCAGTCCTCCCTGGCTGTGCAGTGCCTGCCCCAGTCCCAGCCCCACTCCCTCACTCACCACAGCGTGTGTGCCCCTCCCCACCCCATCCCTGCTGCAGCTACTGGAGGTTCGTGGCCAGGCTGCCTCACAGCCCTACCATGTTTGGGGGTGACTAAGCCCCATTAGCCCCCCACCTCCCCCTTCTACTGCCTATGCTGGGATCGCCAGTATGGGAAACAGGTGGGAACTTTGCCCTGCTGCTGCATCTACTCGGCTCCTGAGCACAAAAAAATGAGTGCAGGGAGTGATACTACCTCCTCCTCACTTACCTTTCTAGAGTAGAAGCTAGAATAAGAAGCAGGCAGGGGGCTTTGTTGCACAGCTCCCTTCCCCTTCCAGACCAGTCCAGGAGTGGGAAGGGTAGCAGCAGGTGCCTGTTGCCCCTTCTCCAAACCAGGCAGCCCCCTAATTCAGGGAAAGTAAGGGGAATTTGCTGGCTTCCTCTGGCTTCCCCTTCTTGCCCACATTGCCCAGCTGTGAAGCAGGGGTAGCAATATAAAAGCTGGTGGGGCCAGGAAGTGGACTCGGGGAAAACCTCCCTAAGCCCAGTTCTCAGCCTGACAAGCTTTTAAATTACCACCCAGCAGGAGGCAAGGGGAAGCCAGCAAGGCCAGGAGCCAGGCTTGAGAAGGCTTTCCCTCGTATAGTTCAGCAAAGCACCTTCCCACTCCCTACACCACTGGTCCCAGGTGTGTGGAATGGGCAGGCACTTTGCAGGGCTCAGCTCACTCAGCTCTCAGTGGGTAGGAACCAAGCAGAAGAAGAAGCGCTGTGAGCCTCCTGCCTGCTTCTCATACCAGAGTCCCCAGTGTAAGAAGTGGGCAGGGCACTTTGCTCCACTGCTCTAGTCACCTACAAACGGGAGGACTATAGCAGCACCAGCCCATGGTTTCCCCAGACTGGGATCACCCCAGTCTTACAAAGGCACAAAGAGTAGGGGAGAGAGGGCTGTTACAGACTGAACATCTCTACTGCTCCCTCTCATGGAATCATTTCTAGTGGTGCACATTTTCCACCACTAGAAAAGAATGTTTGTACGCAGCCACTGTTAAGCACACAATTGAGAACAATGGGGAAATATTAGAGAGCTTCCTATGGAGGAGTAGAATCCGATTCATCTACATGAGAGAATTTCTCTGAGCGGTTATATCCATGATAATACATATACAAGTACTCAATGATGCAAACAAACGATGTGCTTTCATATAGACTTGTACCTACCTGTCTGTGTGCTTGCAAAAGTATCTAATATGCCTGTGCAATCATAATAATTGTGTAAACAAATTAGTTGCATGTTTATTTATGTAACTTCGGAATCAAGACTTAGAATGTGAAATCTGACTTTTGCCCATAGAGTGTAATGCATAGTGCCTACAACTTTCAATTCTTCAACCAGGTGAGAAATTAGGTTATTCAGTAAGTCTGTCTGTTGGGGTTTTTTGTTATGCTATTTGACAAGCTGTAATGATACAGTTTTACCTTATGTTTGCTATGGACCTCACACACCAATTGTAAAAATAGAGCCTTGCCTTAGGCACTCTGTTCTGGTATGTTTTCCTTTTCTTCACTAACAGTTAAATTTTTCAAAGTGGAAAGTTGATCTGCATATGAAAAAATGCATATTCTAGATTTGTATTTGCAGATCAGGTAATGGCATGTGCAACTACTGATTTACATGGAGAAATAGTAATTAACTATACACATTATGTACAGTTTTATCTTTTTCCTGAAGCCAGTTGTCTGAAAATCTAACCTTAATTATTGAATTCAGTTGGAAAAAGACATTCCGACATGAAAGAGCCCCAGTCTCCCAGTGCTTGATCCTGCATGTGTGGAAACTGTTGGCAAAGCTCTTGTAACATCAGTAGTGTAGGATGTGGCTTGTAAAGCTAAACTAAATTGCTTAAATACTAAATCACCATCATTAAAAAGCAAACTGCTACAGCAAAACAAAATGTGTTAAAATATTAATTATATATTTGTACTGCTGGTTACCTCTGCTTTTAATGTGACCATGTGTATCTTAAATTATATTTTGTCCATTTTCATATTAGATTACATATCATTTTAGTAAAAGAAGTACATCATAACACATTTGTACTTCACAAGCCCGAGACATTTAATAATGAACAACATGTCTCACTTGAACATAAAAGAAAAAATGTAAATGCTGAAAATTAAACAAAGTCACAGGGAATCATTCTTAGACAAAAGCAGGTTCTGCAACTACCAAGTGGGAGGACAAGGTTCTGAGAAATTGAATTTAGAAATTGTAGCACTGCTGATAGTCCATGAATAATTAAGTTCTGATCATTTTATTGTCTACCACTTTGAGGAGAAAATAAGTCATCCACAAAATGAACACAGCTGACTGTAATTTTCATATCCATAACACGTAACAAAAAAATGTACCCATATGTTTATAAGTGACGTCAATCTTAAACATGGATAACACAGAATGTTTTGGAGCAGAGAGAACATGATAGAAAATCACCTTACATTGTAAAACGCAACCTGGTTAATTAGAGAAAAAGCAAATATGGTACCACCTCTGAAAAATAATTGTAAATTTGGTTGTAGCACTTAGCCTTTAATAAGTCACGGGTTCCATTCTAGTTAAGTAATGCAACAAATATGAAAAGCCCTTGAGCACTGAGAAGATAAACTCTGAACAAGTCATATTTTTGTGGTGCTAAACTGGTATGTCTACTTGGCCACTAAGGGCCAAGCTAAGCCATTGGATCATGTCACATTAGGCATCAAAAAGATGACAGTTACAAGATGCAGATTTGAAGGATAACATGGGAGTGAAGTGGTCCAGGCCCTCTTAAAATGCTTGGTTTACTCAGTTTACTGCAAGACTCACAGATTTAACATCTTTTCTATGAGCTCTATGACCTACTTGACAGGAAGATCTCCTGGGATCAAAGAAATATTGTTTATCCTCACTACTTCCCTTCTTCCCCACCCTGCAGAGTGAGAGTTATCAACATGGGCCTAGTCTTTCTGCAGTAAGTAAAGATGCTTTTGCTCATACAGACCCATCTATGCAGGGTGGAGGAGGTGCCACACTCCTGCTGCAGGTATCTAGCCACCATGGTGTCCTCTTCACTGAGAGTCCCATCTTCTAGGGTGCTAAGAACACTTCATTCCCACTGAGTTATGGGATTTATCCATAGACTGTTGCTAGGCAGGGCTCAGCCATTAAAGTAAGCAGTACCTATGCTAATATTTGTAGCATATGCTCTAAGTGTATGCTGAGCCATGCACCCACCAGACCTTGTGAACCCCAGTCCATGCTAATGTTGAAAGTACATCTGCTGTGGTCCTAGGACCTAAGAATTCAGAGTGTGGATGAAGGTGGGTAGTTGACAACAAATATGGTATAAGCTTCCAATTTACACATACCATTAGAGCAGCGAGTTGTGCACTAGGGCTGTGTAAAGCTTCAGGTGGTGATTC